AGTGTCAACATTTCCAAGCAAACAAAAACAGGGAGAAGGGAGAATCTGTAGACATGCTGAGATAAAAGAACATACTCTTTACCAGGTCTTCCTCACATTTTTGTTTGACATGTTTTGTGTCATCGGGAAAAGCCTCGATCAACCCTTGATACAGTTTGGAAATCAACTTTGGATGTTTGTCAGACTGCCTTAAAATAGCATCTGGCTTGTCCAGTGTTTGCTGCACAGAGAGAATAAAGTATTATATCTGCAAAAATTCACTTCACCTCCATCACATACTGGTCTTCCCTGGCTGCCTGACCCTGCTGAGACCCATGTCACCATCTGATCCTTCTAAAATGAGGCATGACAAATAATTACCTTGGTGTATATTTATACATTGATTCTATTCTTGGATAATATAATGGTTCAATAATTGAAATTACCATTACTCCCAGATCCCAGACTGTAGCTTTAAGCTTAAGCTGCTGTCCTGTAGCTACTGTAGGTCTACCCATCAATTCAAGATGGAACTTTGTATCATTCACTGATATTGTTAATATACTGCAAAATTCACCCGAGCTCCGTAGACTGGTCTTCCCTGGCTGTCTGACCCTGATGGGACCCCTGTCACCATCTGATCCTGCTAAGACATGATGAGCATAGTGTTGTGTACTGACTGCACTAGAGCTGCATTCCCGGGATGCCTGCGGGACCTGCGGGTCCCGACAGAGATCATTGTAGCGCGGTCTGCATTTTTCATGCTGCGGGTGGTCAGACGACATTGGGATGAAAATGTTTTGTTGTCCCACAGACTATTTGGAAACGGTCCTCTTTCTGCTTTGTATGTGTTAGCCTACCTATTGTATTAAAAGCACATATTTTTCACATTATTCATACACTCGCTGCTTCAACTTCAGTAGCCTACCTCTCCTAGTTGGGCGTGAGAGTTCAAGTGTGCATAGTACAGTGGCTTGCGAAAGTATTCACCCCCCTTGGCATTTTTCCTATTTTGTTGCCTTACAACCTGGAATTAAAATTGATTTTTGGGGGGTTTGTATCAGCTGATTTACACAACATGCCTACCACTTTGAAGATGCAAAATATATTTTTTGGTAAACAAGAAATAAGACAAAAAAACAGAACTTGAGCGTGCATAACTATTCCCCCCCCCCCCCCCAAAGTAATTCCAAGACATTTAAATGGTTCCCCTTTAACCACTTGAGTGTTGCTTTAGCAGTATGCTTAGGGTCATTGTCATGCTGGAAGGTGAACCTCCGTCCCAGTCTCAAATCTCTGGAAGACTGAAACAGATTTCCCTCAAGAATTTCCCTGTATTTAGCACCATCCATCATTCCTTCAATTTGCGCGAACACCAAACGTGTTTGCTTATTTTTTTCTTTAAGCAATGGCTTTTTTCTGGCCACTCTTCTGTAAAGCCCAGCTCTGTGGAGTGTACGGCTTAAAGTGGTCCTATGGACAGATACTCCAATCTCCGCTGTGGAGCTTTGCAGCTCCTTCAGGGTTATCTTTGGTCTCTTTGTTGCCTCTGATTAATGCCCTCCTTGCCTGGTCCGTGAGTTTTGGTGGGCGGCCCTCTCTTGGCAGGTTTGTTGTGGTGCCATATTATTTCCATTTTTTATTATGGATTTAATGGTGCTCCATGGGATGTTCAAAGTTTCGGATATTATTTTATAACCCAACCCTGATCTGTACTTCTCTACAACATTGTCCCTGACATGTTTGGAGAGCTCCTTGGTCTACATGGTGCCGCTTGCTTGGTGGTGCCCCTTACTTAGTGGTGTTGCAGACTCTGGGGCCTTTCAGAACAGGTGTATATATATATATATACTGAGATCATGTGACTCTGAAATAAAGTCCACCTGTGTGCAATCTAACTAATTATGTGACTTCTGAAGGTTATTGTTTGCATCAGATCCTATTTAGGGGCTTCATAGCAAAGGGGGTGAATACATATGCACGCACCACTTTTCCTTTATTTATTTTTTAGAATTTTTTTAAACAAGTTATTTTTTTCATTTCACTTCACCAATTTTGACTTTTGTGTATGTCCATTACATGAAATCCCAATAAAAATATGTTTAAATTACAGGTTGTAATGTAACAAAATAGGAAAAATGCCAAGGGGGATGAATACTTTCGCAAGGCACTGTATGTGTGGTCTCATTTAAATAGAGTAGGCTGCCTACATGGGCGGAGAATCACATGGCAGTTAATTTGAATATGAAATTAACTTAAATATGATTAGACTGTAGTTTACAACAGTGTCTGTATATAAATATTGATAATGGAAAGAAGTGGAGGGCACTCGACCAACGTGAGTTGAAGTGCAATCAATTTTTTTTATCATCATTGAAAAGGTACAATGCGTCCATAGGTTAGGCTACTATGGCGAGCAAGTGTTGCTCGTTTTCTTTTTTAATAAGTATGGATTACCCATTTATTTGTCTCTGCCTGAAAATCGTCCTCCTAAAAGGTAGGCTATATCCTATAGGCCTATGCAAAACATAGCAAGTGTCGCTGTCATCATTCTTGCTGCTTTCAGTTCAGTAGCCATACCTGCGAGATCAGGTGCACATGTGGTCTCAATTAAATAGAGTAGGCTATAGCCTATGCATGGGAGGAGAAGCACGGGGCAGTTACCTTTCCAAGGAAATGTACTTCCTAAATAGTCCTATGGCCTTTTGTTTGGCACTGACGAAGATGGCGGCCTCGCGACTAGCTCTTAGGAAACTTTGCGGTATTTGGTTTGTTTATGTATTCTTTTTTACATTATTAGCTCAGAAAATGTTTTGTATCATTACATACAGCCGGGAAAAACTATTGGATATCAGAGCTGCAGTAACTCATCAGAACTACCAGCATTACGACCAGGAATGCGATTTTCCCGAAGCAATCCTTTGTTCGCTCTCCCAAGGGCAATGGAACTGATTCCAGAGGCTGACCCAAAACATTGCCGGCAGAGAAGAGGCACTCGGAGCGGCCTGCTGGTTCGACTTAGAAGGCGCACACACCACCCACCGCTTCCGAGTATATTACTCGCAAATGTTAAGTCTTTGGATAACAAAGTTGACGAGCTCAGGGCAAGGGTTTCTTTCCAGAGAGACATAAGGGTCTGTAACATACTTTGTTTCACCGAAACATGGCTCTCAAGGGACATTCTGTCGAAATCGGTCCAGCCAGATGGGTTCTCAGTTCATCGCGCAGACAGAAATAAATATCTCTCCGGGAAGCAGAAGAGCGGAGGTGTGTGTTTCATGATTAACGACTCATGGTGTAATTGTAGTAACATACAGGAACTCAAATCCTTTTGTTCATCCGACCTAGAATACCTCACAATCAAATGCTGACCGTATTATCTCCCAAGATAATTTTCCTTGGTTATAGCCACAGCCTTTAAAATCCCCCCTCAAGCCGATACCACGACGGCCCTCAAAGAACTACACTGGACTTTATGCAAACTGGAAACCACATATCCTGAGGCTGCATTTATTGTAGCTCGGGATTTTAACAAAGCCAATTTGAGGACTAGGCTGCCGAAGTTCTATCAACATATCGACTGTTGTACTCGCGCGGCTAAAACCATTGCTATTCGAACTTCCGGGATGCTTAAAAAATCCTCCCCCGCCCTCCTTTCGGCAAATCTGACCACGACTCCATTTTGCTCCTCCCTTCCTATAGGCAGGAACTCAAACAGGAAGTACCCGTGCTAAGGACTATTCAACGCTGGTCTGACCAATCCGAATCCACGCTTCAAGATTGTTTTGATCACGTGGACTGGGATATGTTCTGGGTAGCTTGCGAAAATAATTTAGACGAATACACTGAAACAGTGACTGAGTTTATCAGAAAGTGTATAGGAGATGTTGTGCCCACTGTAACTATTAACACCTACCCTAAGCAGAAACTATGGATAGATGGCAGCATTCGCGCAAAACTGAAAGCGCGAACCACCGCATTTAACCAATGCAAGGTGACTGGGAATATGGCAGAATACAAACAGTGTAGCTATTCACTCCGCAAGGCAATCAAACAGGCAAAACGTCAGTATAGAGACAAAGTGGAGTCGCAATTCAACGGCTCAGACACGAGACGCATGTAGCAGGGTCTACAGACAATCACAGACTACAGAAGGAAAACCAGCCACGTCGCCGACACCGACGTCTTGCTTCCGGACAAGCTAAACACCTTCTTCGCCCGATTTGAGGTTAACACAGTGCCACCGACGTGGTCCACTACCAAGGACTGTAGGCTCTCCTTCTCAGTGGCCGACGTGAGTAAGACATTTAAGCGTGTTAACCCTCGCAAGGCTGCCGGCCCAGACGGCAGCCTCTGTCAATCCAACACCTTAACTCAACATTTCCCAAACTCGGTCCTCCGGACCCCAAGGGGTGCGCGTTTTGGTTTTTGCCCTAACACTACACAGCTGATTCAAATGATCAAGGCTTGATGATTCGTTGATTATTTGAATCAGCTGTGTAGTGCCAAAACGTGCGCCGAGTTTGGGAAACACTGCCTTAACTGTATGCAAAAAGGTTTGGACCACACAAACTCACACACCCAACAGTTGCTAGCCAGCTAATGCAAGCCAACTTTGTTCTGTTGTTATTGAGTTTGTTACATTGGCATGCAAACTTCGGCATCTTAGCTAACGTTAGTTTTTTTTTGTCTTCCTTTCACAGTAAACACACCTTAAGCCTTGTGAATATTATATGAGGGGGCGTGTACTTCTGGGTATGAACAAGACGAAAAAATTCGGGAAAGTATTTTTTCCAAGACAACAATGCACTGATAAACTAAAAAGTACACTACTTCACGGAAATATATTTAATGGTATAACATTCCAGATCAATTACATTTTGTACATATTTCAGCTATTCTACCTAACGCAGTGAGGAAGAGGCGAATCTGGCAATGCTCATGCGTTTATATGAAACCAAAAGCATATGATTATTTCCGGGAAGACGGAACAGTCTTTCCGGTCTACGACACGTCCCAAGATGGCGGTGCAGATATCTAAGAAGAGGAAGGTTTGTGAAGATTTATCTTTACTTTTAGAGATTTGACTTCACATAAATCGAAAACATCCTTATAGTTAAGCAGTTTGTTACTGCGGTAACATGTCCTGTGAGTAGATGTAAGATTTTCTGTAGTTTTTTTAAAAAGCTACGGCTGGTGACCTAGCATGCTAGGCAGCACGCGCACATGATCCCATACTGTAGTGTGCTGAAATATATTCCTCATTGACCAGTGTAGTTGTCTAAAGATGTTAACTAACTAATTACTTTGCTAACCCACCGGTACCTACCTTATCCGCATCTTCAAAATGTCACTAAATCCCTCAATTTACAGGGTATTATCCTGGCCATGAAAGTTTAGTTTGTACAATATTACAGCAGATTTCCATAAAACATCAACATGCCCTGTGAGGCCAGATAATAGGTGCGTTGGGAAAATAAGTTACTTCCGGATAGATGGGGTTCTCTCGTTTGGACCAGGAGAGTTAAACTGTATTTTTTAATATGATCGAAGTGTACATGTAGCATTCCAATCTTTACTTTGGTTAGACAGGATACAGTATCCTTGGTATGTCTAATGATTGATGTAATGAGTAGCCAGGATGCTGTCTTTCAAACTTTGTCCCTGCTAAGTTACCTGCTGATGACCTCACTCACCCTCCTCCTGTCTTCATATTTTTACAGTTTGTCGCTGATGGCATCTTCAAAGCTGAACTGAACGAGTTCCTCACCAGAGAGCTCGCTGAGGATGGCTACTCTGGTGTGGAGGTTCGTGTCACCCCAACCAGGACTGAAATCATCATCCTGGCTACCAGGTGAGTCCAAAAACCTGGATATCAAAACCAGAGGATTTGTGGCAGACTGGCACATTCTACTCCAAAATCAAAGTTTGTCAGATGTTTTGACCTCAAAAGTAGTCTGTCAAGATGAATGTCCTGCTATATGCCTGAACAGTATGAAAAATGTATGCACTCACTAACTGTAAGTCGCTCTGGATAAGAGCGTCTGCTAAATGACTAAAATGTAAAAACACCAAATGAATAAAAAAAAAGCTTAGCACTGCAAATCTGTAAATTACATGGTGCATATCTGGTCCCTTTATTTTGGGTTGTGGCTTATAGCTGTATCTGTGGGGGGGAATTAGTGAGTGCGTGCTGATTGCCGTTCATGGTGAATGAAATAATGTTCCCTATATTTTCAATGCATTTTCTGCAATGGGTGGGAACGTGGACTTTTCTCCACATATGACCACATGAGGTTTGAATATCTGACAAATTTAGATTTTTAGAAAGTTGTCTCTGATAACGGACACTACTGCTGAGAGAGAGCCAGTGAGTTGACTCAAACTGGTGAGGTGCGAACAGACCATATACTCTTTCTCCAGGACACAGAACGTGCTTGGTGAGAAGGGGCGTCGTATCCGTGAGCTGACTGCAGTGGTCCAGAAGAGGTTTGGCTTCCCAGAGGGCAGTGTTGAGGTAAGGAATGCTTGGTTTCAGACGCCAAGGCCACCCATTGTCATGTTATGGCCATGATAGGTCGCTACATTTTTGTTTTCATTGCTTCAGAAACATGTGGGAGAGGACCATATTATATTTGAGGGGTGGTGGGTGACTATAAAGTTACTATTTGCTTGTGGCTCATTCCTTGTCAAATACTACCAGAAATTCTACCATTGTCGTCTCGTCCCCTAAACACTGTTTCTGCTCTGTGAAAAGTTTGCAACATACTGTGTTTTTCTTGCCATCAGCTGTATGCTGAGAAGGTTGCCACTCGTGGTCTGTGCGCCATCGCCCAGGCCGAGTCTCTGCGCTACAAGCTTCTTGGGGGTCTGGCTGTCCGCAGGTGAGGATCTTTGCCCTGTTTTTTTCTAATGCGAACTATGGCAAGTACTTGATTAAAGGTTTGTATTCAACAAGTACTGTACAGGGTTTTTTTCTGTTTCAAAAGGATTAAAATAAATAAACAATGATTCCAAGGGCTGATTTTCTTCTTTTATAGCCGCTTTAAAGCTATTTTCCTGCAATTCTACACATGTTGCCATGGAGCTGAGAGAAGTCCTGCAATTCTATGCATTTTGCTATGGCTAATGCTGTGTATTTTTGCTCAAACATAATTAACTAAATCAATACTGCTAAATTCATGGTTTTTGGAATGTTCAATTCTCCCTGACTGTCTAGTTTTTATTTTGTTGATTGTTAGTTCTAAAATATTATATTTTTTAGGCATTTGACTTTACACTGAAAGCGTTTTTCATCCCGGGGAGTTTTGTTATTTTTTTACTCTGCTCAAAATGTGTACCTGCAACTATAATGGCCCTCGCAAGGATTTCAATGGCAAAAAATCCCTGCTCTAATTTTTTTGAAATGCAACTATTTAGCAGGTAAAATGTATAAGCACTGACAACATTTCAAACTCTTAAGATGTGTTTGTGGAGTATGTCAAGTGCTGTGAAAATGTAAAGTTTTGTTTTCAGTTGTGTACTGTAAACCTTTTGCCTTCAGCCATGTTTCATCTTTTAAAAGACTAATGCATAATTTTCATGAGTACTTGAATGGACATTCCTGTCAAACCTTTAATGAAAAGATAGTGAAGTGAGGCAGTGGTGCTTGTGACTTAAGTTATTATTTTAGGTGTTAGTTGAAACTGGAAGATCCCAGTGTTAGAGCGCAATCTCATTGTGAAAGTCAATATTTGACACGCTACTCTAAAGGGTGGGATGAATGGAGTTTAGGAGATCAAGACTACAATTATCTGTTGTATATCGTTGTCATATTTTTCATGGCACTGTCTGGCAGAGTTGAAGTCCCGGGACTTGTAAGAATATATGGTGTTTTTAATTCTGCTTGTTTTGGTGTTGCAGAGCCTGCTATGGTGTCCTGCGCTTCATCATGGAGAGCGGGTCCAAGGGTTGCGAGGTGGTGGTCTCTGGAAAGCTCAGGGGCCAGAGGGCCAAATCCATGAAGTTCGTGGATGGCCTCATGATCCACAGTGGGGACCCCGTTAACTACTACGTCGACACCGCTGTCCGCCATGTGCTGCTCCGTCAAGGTGAGGTCACCCTGGGGTTTTATGCCTGATTCACACTATAGGCCCAAGCTGTCTGGACTGGCCTCTTTACGCATCCACCATGGTTGTTAGAACTGTGCTGGAATGGATAATGTGGCTATATCACAATGATCTCTTATTCATCCCAAAGTGTGCACTTGTTCACTTACTTCCCTTAACTGATTTGAAAGGAAATGACTGGTATAAGACATATGGTGGAAACTCCCACTAGCCCATGCTTCTACCAATTCAATGTTTTTAGATTTGTGGGAAGTAGGGAATGAATGCACAGTTCAAGAGAAGGGCGATATTATTGGGATGCACACAGTGAGAAGAAATGATCCGAGCTAGCTCCATATGGTTCGGATCGGCCCTATAGTGTGGATCGGGCGTTAGATGGGCCAGGTCAAGACTAGTGTTGCACAGTATACCGGTACCACAGTAATATCACTGTACCAAAACGTCATGATACTTATGATACCAACATTTTAGAATACTGTAGTATCGTTTCATATGATACTACCACATTTTTCAGCCCTCCTGATCTAAAGAACCTGCTGGCACCAGTTATAAAAATTTTATGAAGTCAGTTTTGTTTCTAAATTCAGTTGAGTTTAAGCAACAGCCACTAGTCTCTTGTATGCGCATGTCTAATAATATCCACTTCACTTTCATGCACATATCACGTGTGGCAGCTGTAATCAGCCAGCTGCATCCTCTACCAGCCCTCACGCACCTGCTTCTCTCTGTCCGCTCTTCATGATCATCTATTCCTCCATCAGTTTTTAAAATATAATTCAGCCTTGATGGCGAATGGGGATGCAGACCCTGATGAGTATTGTTAGATTTGTTCAATTGGAACAGTGCGCCGAGCGAGCAATGTTGACACATTGTATAAATTCATCACCTGTTATAACCAAGAGCACAGGCCAGTCTGAGTAGATTTTACAAGTTCACTGTCATGCAGCCTCTGAGTCCCAGAGAGGGCAAAGAAAACGTTCAGTCAGTTTACCTAGCTAGCTAACAACCTGGTAACTTGACAGTGTCTAGGCAAGTGTCATTAACACAGGAAGAAAAGAAAAGGGTCTGATACTCATGAGATGCGCTTCAAAGGTAGATTTCATATAGGCCTAATGTAAGCCTAAACTATATCAAAAATCAATTTCTTTCTGGTGCTCCTTACATTCTGTTTGGTGCCTAATGTTTTATAAGTTGTGAGCAATGTGCGTGTGTTTGTGCGAGAGTGGTGTGTGTGAGGAAGGGCGGGAGAGTGTGTCTGTTAACTGAAGAGTAAATAATGTTTCATGCAGTGTTTTTCCCCTTACTGCCACAATGACATGCAGATTATGCATGTATATTCCTTCCTTCCATCACTCCAACCAAATCACGGGTAGGCCTTTGCAAATATGAGCAAATCAGCCATTCTATGCAGTATTCTATTTTACACTGAACAGTTAAGTTAAATTCAATGTGTTTTATTGAATAGAAGTGAATTTGTGACAGGTTTTTGCGCAGCACATACGTAGACAGTTTAGGAAAAAACGCAGGGTTCGCACAACGCGCTTGAGGTGCTTAAAGTACTTGAATTTGGAACTCTGAACTTCAAGTACTGGAATACCTTAAATCAGACATTTTCTCAAGTTGGAACTTCAAAAGTACTTGCATTAAAATGAGAGGAGAACAGATAATAACCAAACATTGTGACCATTGGTGAATCGACCCTGAAGAGCCACATGAAGGGGGAAAGACAACGCTGCATCCTGCGCTGGCGCAAGTTCTACATTGTAACTTTTTCTCTGCAACGGCCTCCTGAGCTTTTTTGCCAATAGCCTCATTCATGGGGTGGCCGCAGTAATCCGCTTTATCAAGCAGCAGCCGTGCGCCTGGCGTTCTGGTGGCCGTTCACATGCTCCCTCACACAGCCCACCCGCCCTTCTCCCGACCAGCGACACTAAAGCTGCAGTCGGAAGCAAGACTTTTTTTTTGTTGTAGCTATTAAGTAGTAGATGCCCAATAAAAACAGTAATTAAGCTGGAATTGTGTAGTAATGCGAATAGGAAATGTGTGTTCACCAGTAGGCATGTCTCTCAACTCTGCTAATCACTACTCAAATTACAAAATCATCAGTACTGACATCCCACTCATGTATGTAGTAAATAAGTAGGGAAACAACATATTATTTAGTAGAACTTGTAAGGTAGTGATGAATACTGTATTTTTTTTTTTTAGGTTGTGGCAATATACTGCCATCTGGTGGCAACTGGAAACAATTGCATAATGTTAACTAACAAATTGATGGTCCATGAAAATAGATATTAGTACTAGTATGAAAAAGTATTTCAGTTTGACTTGCCACTGTCTATACGAACTCAGGAACAGGAACAAGCGTCTCGGGGACAGGGCTAACAGGACGCTAGGCCACTGATTTCCCCCCCATGGTATCGTTAGTAAAAGGTTGATATAGTGACAACACTAATCAAGACGACTTGTCTTATGCAACAGGACCAGAAATGAGAAGTGATGAAATGGTGACAAATACTTGAGGTGCAATCTGTTCTGCCTGTCCAAAGGTGTGCTGGGGATCAAGGTGAAGATCATGCTGCCCTGGGATCCCAGCGGTAAGATCGGCCCCAAGAAGCCTCTCCCTGACCACGTGAGCATTGTGGAGCCCAAGGACGAGCAGGTCCCCTCTACCCCCATCTCAGAGCAGAAGGGAGCCAAGCCGGAGGCCGCTGCCGTCGCACCTGCGACACCCGTCCCCACAGCATAACCATGAGGGAGCCCCAAACCAGCGTCTCCTTTTTTTCAATGTAAGGCAGGATAAGTTCCACAGCTTGCACAGTGCTGCGTTGTCGTTCCCACTGAACACAGAAACCCTGTTCCCTACTATCCCTGTCTGTCTGCATCCCACGGCTAGCAGGGACGCTTGGTTTTTGACACCACGTCGCCCATTGCCATGGTCATAAATCTATACATTGCCTGAAAGGAATCTTAAAGGTTTAAGGTGGCAAAATGTCTGAATGATTATCTAATTTTCCCTATTATTTTACAGGTCATCATGAGCCAACTGGAAATGCTCCAAATACCCTTGTCAAGTGTTGAGAGAGAAATAAAAAGTAAATGTTTGGAAATGTTTTGTCTTTGAAATTATTTGACCAAATTGCCTTTCACTATGGGAAGTTACACAATGCTTGCTTTAAAACGGAGCCTTTGCCTTTATAAAGTAATTTGGAAGTCACTTAGGTTATCTTGATACCCAGCCAACAGCATCTAGAATGTAGTTGCTGTCAAATGTTACAACCTATCGCCAAACTGTTACTTTTACTTCATTTTTCATAATGGTGGTTAAAAAGTTGAGCAAAATAACAAGTGTTCTGTCAATTTCCACCCTATTATAGGTCTGTGTGAATTACAAATATATGCGTGTGTAATGTAAATAACAAAATCTGGAACATTTTGTATGCCAAAGTATGTGGACACCTGCTTGTCAAACAATAATAATAATAATATGCCATTTAGCAGACGCTTTTATCCAAAGCGACTTACAGTCATGCGTGCATACACTTTTTTTTTTGAATACCCAAAATCATGGGTATTAATATGGAGTTGGTCCCCCCCCCGCTGCTACAACAGCCTCCACTCTTCTGGAAAGGCTTTCCACTAGATGGAACATTGCTGCGCGGACTTGCTTCCATTCAGCCACGAGCATTAGAGGGGAAGTCGGCACTGATGGGCGATTAGGCCTGGCTCGCAGCCTGCGTTCCAATTCATCCCAAAGGTGTTTTATGGGGTTGAGGTCAGGGTTCTGCAGGCCAGTCAAGTTCTTCCGCACTGATCTCGACAAACCATTTCTGTATGGACCTTGCTTTGTGCATGGGGGCATTGTCATGCTGAAACAGGAAAGGGCCTTCCCCAAACTGTTGCCACAATGTTGGAACACAGAATCGTCTAGAATGTCATTGTATGGTGTAGCGTTAAGATTTCCCTTCGCCTAGCCCAAACCATGAAAAACAGCCCCAGATCATTATTCCTCCTCCACCAAACTTTACAGTTGGCCCTAAGTATTCGGGCAGGTAGCGTTCTCCTGGCATTCACCAAACCCAGATTAGTCCGACGGACTGCCAGATGGAGAAGCGTGATTCATCACTCCAGAGAACGCGTTTCCACTGCTCCAGAGTCCAATGGCGGCGAGTTTTACACCACCCCAGCCGACTGGTGATCTTGGGCTTGTGTGCGGCTGCTCGGCCATGGGAACCCATTTCATGAAGCTCCCGACATACAGTTATTGTGCTGACGTTGCTTCCAGAGGCAGTTTGGAACTTGGTAGTGAGTGTTGCGACCGAGGACAGGCGATTTATACGCATTTCCACACTCGGTGGTCCCGTTCTGTGAGTTTGCGACCTACCACTTCGCGGCTGAGCCATTGTTGCTCCTAGACGTTTCCACTTCACAATAACAGCACTTACAGTTGACCAGGGCAGATACTTTACGAACTGACTTGTTGGAAAGGTGGCATCCTATGACGGTGCCATGTTGAAAGTCACTGAGCACTTCAGTAAGGCCATTCTACTGCCAATGTTTGTCTATGGAGATTGCATGGCTGTGTGCTCGATTTTATACACCTGCCAGCAACGGGTGTGGCTGAAATAGCCGAATCCACTAATTTGAAGGGATGTCCACATACTTTTGCATCTATAGTGTAACATTACCTGTGTCAGTATTTACCATCACTCACTGCAGTTGAAAAACCAAGGTAATTGACTTCTAAGTCATTACCAAAATCATGTTTTAGATGTGTGAAACAGTTTTGCATGGAAAACATACTTATGCAGTCTTCCCGAAATGATATTGCCACTAATATGAGTGTTGGTTGCGTTAAATGTTACAAGTAGCTGCATTTATATAATAACCAATAGGCAGTGTTCCACATTGTACAAGTTCAGCAAGCTACGTTGTATAAAAATGCAAGTTGCTACAAAATGGCAGCTGCGTACGAGCCACTGTATGGAGGACTTTACATTAGTTCGTTTGGGCTAAATTGCCTACCTATGTCAAAATGTGAAACAGTTCACACCTTCATCAGTGCCTAAATTATCACTGCGCGATCATTCCCCGCGCATATTCTTTACATTAGTAATTTGAGTTTTTACCGCAAAGACCTCTGGGCCACTATTTTCTTTGACGCGGTGAATTGTGGGCAGTCATTGGTCCTCCGAGCTTTTAGAGTCTGCTGCTCCACCATTGGAAAAGATGGCTGCCTCGGCTCCATCGGCGGGTTTTTCCTCCGATTTGTGCCCAAGCTACGCCGTGATATGCTCTTTTCTAGAGCGGTATGGAGCTTTGCTGGATCTACCGGAGCTTACATTTCCACAGTTGGAGAGATATCTTCAAGACACATCTTCAGGTATAGTTTGAAAAGCGCGAGCTGCTGTGGGGAGGTGCGACTACACCATCGCATAGTGTTCTGTGTCGTTCGTGCCAGCTAGCTAGTTGTTATTGTGTGTTTTCCAATGTATTGCTGTCCCAAATTCATAATAAGGATCCCGGGTGAAGCATATGCAATGTTTTTGCACTGTTTAACTCTGAACTTTTCGAAGACTAAAAGGCTTCGGTGAAATGTGGTTATTTTAAATTATTGGATTTGTTTTCAGCCTTTATCTGCCATGGACTGAATTGCACTATATCACATCCTACAGAAACTGCTTTGAGCTTTTGCACAAAGATGAATTGTTTTTAACATTTAAAGTATGGGGCACACCTGTTTTTCGGTTTATGATGTATGTTGCGATAAGGACAAAATTGTCCATTGTATTTACCGTTAAGTAATATTTTGGCTGTGGTTAGCTCGCGCTGTATTGCGCAGGCGCACACCTGGGCTTCCTGCTCAATGGATTCCTTCTGTAATTAGGTTCCCATTAGCTTCTATAGTAGCCACAAAGTCCAAATTGGTTACAAAAATCTTCATGGTTAGGATTCAAATCATAATTTAAAGGTAGACTCAGCCATATGATTTAGATGCATAAAGTAAAAAGCATAGTCGGGGTGGACTTAGTGATTTGGAGGTCCAAGGCAGAGGTCCTGCTCCTCCCCAAAAATGGATTTATAGTAAAGACATGTAATTTAACTGTAAAAATGTATTACCTTTTAATGTGCCATGAACCAGTCATTTATTTTAATCTGATTGTCAACAAATCACTTAAAATTATCCCAAAATAATTCTAGCATCTGAACAGTGCACTGTGCACCTGCCAACTTTCCTTCAATTCGTAAGTGGCTGAAACTATCTCATTGGAGAAAGCATCAGAGTGAGCGAAACAGCGCCTCTCTGTCTTACTATATGTAGCCTATGTATCTGAAGCCATAATCAGTTTGGCCAGACAGCATCAGATGCAGTGCCTATAGAAAGTCTACACCCCCCCTTGCCCCCAATCACATTTGATTGTTACAAAGTGGGATTAAAATGATTTAGTTGTAATTTTGTCAACGATCTACACAAGTTACTCTGTTAAAGTAGAACAATTCTATTTTTATTTTTTTTAAGATTAATGAAAAAAAAACCAGATTTACCTTGATTATATAAGTATTCACCCCCCTGAGTCGATACATGTTAGAAACACCTTTGGCAGTGATTACAGCTGTGTCTTCTTGGGTAAGTCTCATAAGACCTTTGCATACCTGTATTGTGCAATATTTGCCCATAACTCTTACATTCTTCATGCTATGTCAAGGTGTTGGGGATCATGGCTAGACAGCAATCTTAAAGTCTTGCCATAGATTTTCAAGCAGATTTAAGTCAAAACTGTAAAATTTAGCCACACAGGAACATTCACTATCTTCTTCGTAAACAATTCCAGTGTAGATTTGTGTGGTAGGTTATTGTCCTGCTGAAAGGTGAATTTGTCTCCCAGTGTCTGGTGTAAAGCACACTGAAGCAGGTTTTCCTCCATGACTTTGCCTGTGCTTAGCTCCATCCCGTTTCTTTTTATCCTGAAAAACTCTCCAGTCTTTGCAAATGTCAAGTATACCAATGCCATGATGCAGCCACTACCATGCTTGAAAATAAGGAGGCAGTTAGTCAGTGCTGTGTTGAATTTCCCCCAAACATAATGCTTTGGATTTATGCCAAAAAGTGTCTTCCTTTGCTGTTCCCCCCCCCCCCCCCCCCCAGTATTACTTTAGTGCCTTGTTGTGTACATATGCATGTTTTGGAATATTTGTATTCTGTATATTTGTATTCTTCTTTTCACTCTGTCATTTAGGTAATTATTGTGGAGTTACTACAATGTTGTTGATCCATCCTCAGTTTTCTCCCGTCACAGCCATTGAACTCTGTAGTTGGCCTCATGGTGCAGTTTCCTTCCTGTCCTGCAGCTCAAGGACGACTGCAGGATGACTTCATCTTTGAAGTGTCTGGGTGGTTTAATACATCATCCACAGCATAATTATGAACTTGGCCATGCTTAAAGAGATATTCAATGTCTGATTTGTTTTTGTTAACCATCTACCAATCACTGCCCTTCTTTGAGGCTTTTGAAAAGCTCCCCGTCTTTTGTAGTTGAATCTGTGCCTGAAATTGGGGGACAGAGGATGGGGTTCAAAAATCATGTCAACCCCAATTATTTAAAACAGTGAGTCCATGTAACTTATGTGATTTGTTAAGCCAAATTTGACTTCTGAACTAATTTATGGTTGCCTAAACAAAGGGGGTGAATACTTACGACTTTTTAAATTCAATATCTATTAATAAAAAATAAAAATTAAGAATTTTCT